GAAATAAATCATAAAAAATGAAATAAAATTTAAAAATAGCTTTAAATTAAAAAAAAAAATTTTGCTCTACTAAATTTGTTTTCTTTAATTTTATATATCTTTTTGTTTTTTGTTTAGTTTAATTATTTTATTATTTATAGTATTTCTTTAGTACCACGAGTGACTTTTCTTTAAATCAATTTTAGTTTTATAATATTCAATCAACACATGACCATTTTCGCATTTAATCATAGACAAGATCGATAAATGTTTATCTTATCTTGTGTTGTATTAGTCTAAAATCTATAATTGTAGAGGTTTACCTATGACCATGATATGTTAAATATAATATTTTAAAATTTTCATCATTCAAGTCGAATTTTATTCTATGTAGTACAGCAAGCTACTGGGTCAATCCATGCCAAATCATCCAGTAGTGGTTGCACGACCTCTCATATTTTGCTTAATTTTTCAGGGTTTATTATTTATGCTATAATTAGATTAAAACAATTTTTTTTTTTTATGACCTTCCGATTTTTATGGCTATTTCAATGTAAAAAATGTTAAAAATAGCCAGAACGTTAAAAAACAAACAGATTATTCAATATTAACTCAATCGACTTAAAATTTTAGGATTGACCTTATTATAACTTAAAGTTAACATTAAAAATAAAAAAAAATAAAAATTTATGTGAAATTTCGAAAATCAGCGATTTTTAAATTTATCATTTTTTCCCCATTTACGGGGAACAAGAGAAATATTTTCAATTTTTGATGGTAATGTCTTCGACTAGATACGATTTGTGATCTTTTGACGTATCGTTAAAAAAAATCCGTTCGGTGAGAGCTGAGAAAAGTGTTAACAGACACAAAAAAAAACACATCATAGTAAAATTAATAACTTCTCAGCTTTGCATCGAAGCTAAAATATCCACAATATAACCTATAAAACCTATACACAGTTCTCACAGAAAAGTTTATATGTAATAATTATAATATATAATAGTTACATTGTATTGTATTATATTACATACACAGTAATATAAAAAAATTTACAAAAACATGGTTTGAAAACAACAAAAAACTATCATTAAATTACATGATTTTGAAAGGATTTTTACTAATTTTCTAATGCTAAATTTTACATGTTAAACTTTTTTCTCAAACTTCAAATTTTTATGGTGTATTAAGCAGATATATAACTAAAAAACTAAAAAAAAAAATTTTTGAAATTAGGTCCCCCAACAGAGATAATGCACCTAGAATACGTGTCTTTTTATAAAATTTCTAACTTTGTAGGCCTCTAAATCGCAAGAAAATTGTTTTAAATATTTGAAATTTAGTTGAAACATAGATTATATACTATACAATACCACATTTGAAAATCACTATAAAATAATAACATCTTAACGGTTTAGGTGAGTTCAAAAACGCCAATTTTCTCAAAAAAAGCACCATTTTTAGAAAGTAATTTAAGTTTGAAATTTCACATACGTTTTTTTTTTAAATGTTAACTTTAAGTTATAATAAGGTCAATCTTTTTTTTTTTTTGTATCTTGACTTTTATTGAAAAATCACATGAAAATTTCTAATATAAGTTTTTTTTATCGTTTTATAGAATATTCTTCAAAAATTCGAGGTCAAAACCTTAAAATGCTGTGCGCCTCGATTTAAATTTTTCCAAATGATTTAAAATTTTCAGAATATTATTTTTTTATACTCAAGAAAAAAATGGAGGGGTGTCCCGAAAGAAATTTCGAAATTCGAAAAATAAGGGCCACTCTATTATACATATTGTGTAAATATAAGACATGATTCTTCATATAAGAACAAAATACATATTGTCCAGATCTAACGGACAATACCTATAACTTTAAATACAATTACTTATCATTTTGTTTTGTTTTTTTTTAATTATTATTGCCTTCTTAAATTACGCTTAAAGTGTATTTTTTAATATAGTAATTATACTGATACAAATTATAATTTATATTTCTTTCTTATTTTTCCTCACCTTAATCCCAACTACTTGGAGTCGGCCAGGTAGTTATAAATTATGAATTATGATTTAAATTTATATATTTTACTGGCAAATTCATTTTCATTAAATTTTAATATGTATGTTTTTCTTCGAAAAATATTAAACATTTAGATGTTTAATGAACCTATTATTTTTGTTATACTACTCTAGGACACTTTTATATTGAGACGATAATAAATAAAATTAAATTTTATGTGGTAAACCTCAAAAAAGACATTTTTCCCATTCAATTTTTTACTTAAAGATAAAATACAATTTACGTAGACATATTTTAAGAATAGACTATTTCGCTAAGAGTAGGTATAGCATTTACTTAATAAATAAATAAAGTATAGATAAAAAATAATTATAGTAGCCAAAGATTAAATCATTTAAACTGAACTGTAACATTAGGCAATGTAAATTAAAAATACATATTTTTTCTTATCTTATCTTAGCACACACGGAAACAATTAATTTAATGACTGCTAAAATTATGTTTACAAAACGATGTAATGGTATTTACTGATTTACGTACGATTCATACAAACACTTTGTTTATGCAATTACAAAAAGTTTTATTATTCACCTTTGAATCCATGCCCCCAGTACCCACTGTTGATTTTTGACCGAATTGANCCCAGTACCCACAGTTGATTTTTGACCGAATTGAATTATATCCACCATATCGCTATTATAAGTCCATATCATTTTTGCACCTTCTTGTTTAGGGGGCAGTGTATAAATACCATCTACATCTGACATTAGCATTAACAAGTCAGCTCTAATTTCAGCAGCTACCATTGCGGCTAAACTGTCATTGTCTTTGATACTGATCACCTGTAAACAAAAATTTCGCAATCATTTCTTTACTTACGGAATCAAATAACGATATAACATAATAAAAAATAAAAAATCACACTTAAAATTAAAAAAATATCTGAACAATTAATTTAAAACTAAAAAAATATTAAAAATGTTTAACTCAAAAAGACACAAAATATACAAAAAAATTGCGATAAAAGATTTTATTTTAATAGTAAAGGAAATTTGAATTTTTAACACAATTTTATTTGTTTATTAAATATAAAACTATAGAGTTTCAAAGTTTTGAGTTAAAGTTAATATATAATAGACAAAGAATTACAAATACAAGTAGCTAATAGATTTTTTATGAAGTTGCTATTGCAGATACAAAGCGTTTATTGTCAATTATGCTTTATTGTCAATAGATATGTCCTCTGTATTGCAAGTTAGTGTTTTAATAAACTCACAACGATGTGCCTTACTACCATATTTAAGAATATCTGTTTATAATAAATGGTGCGTGTCTGCTAATAGCGACGTTGAAAAAACCAATGAGCTACCTGTACTTGTAATCTCTCGTGTAGTATATATATATCAATTTACTTAAGAATTTTAACTATAAATTCTTCAATTTTTTTTTTAACGCTTTTTAGGTCCAAAAGAGGAAGTTACTTAACCACTGATATTCCGGGACGGATGGTTAATCTATCGACGGAGAGAAGGATGGCGACTTCAATTACCGAACTGATCTCTTGTTCGGCAAATTAATTCGCTCGTGACCGAGATTCGAACTCGAGGTAACTCGGCCATACCGTCCTCTCAATAATTCTACAATAATAAACTATATTTTTAACCCAATTTAAATAATAATAAAATCTCAGCCATGAAAGTGGTGAAACATTGAGTTTTTGCAATAATTTACAACGCAACAAATTAAAAAAAAAGGAACTTTCAAAGCTAATTTTAAGTTGGTTTCAATAAAATACCAAAGTTGAAATTCTTACCATAGAAGTCAAAATGTGTAATAATATTGTATAAAATGTGTGTAGTTTAATATTTTTTGTCCCATCGAAAAAAATCTATGATAAAATCGCCTAAAAATTGTTATTTTAGACATTTCAGAAAAAAATATTATTATTTTGTCTGTGAGAGCATAGAATTGTTATGGACAGACACAAAGAAACATATGAATAACAACATAATATTGAATATAAAATTTAGGAGAAAAGCAACTTTATAGATACATACCTTTTTCCCTTTTGACTTCATCTGTTCACTGTCTTGAGGGGGCGGTGTCACCGCATCATTTGTATTAATAATAGGAACAATGTTCAAACTGATTAGTTCAGACAGAGTACTCACGAGATTATTGCGAGTCTGATCATTGTAAAAATCAAGTTCCGTTACAAGTACTTGTGCTATTTTTACGCCATACTGAGAGAACATGGCATCATATAAAGACATTAAACCCGATTGACCGACAGCTGCTGCTGCTCTAGCTTCTAAAAGGGTTGTTACATCTTTCCTAGTATTATCTTTGGCTGCAAGGGTTTCTCGCATACTTAATGACATAAGTACTTCTTGGGTCAGTTTTTGCTTTCCAAAAGCCACTGCTCCACTAGTGACCATTATACATTCACGGCCTTCTAAATGACATTCAGCTACCTAAGAATGGAGTCGGTTAAGCTTTAAAGTAAATAAAAAACTGAGGTAATGTAATAAACTAAAGATAATAGCTGGAAAAAATCAATTTAAAACAATTACTTGTTCAACAATAGAAGCTAAGCGACCAAGAGCGATTCCATGTTCATCTTCTCTAGTTATTACGGCACTACCCATTTTAATGACAAGACGACGAGCATATTTCAACTGTGACCTGTCTGAAAATCCATTAACTTGAGAGTTAGCTACTTGTAATGAACGTCTCAAATCTAACTTCTATAAAATAAAAACAACAAAAATAGAATAATGTATGATTTTTCAATTAAATACTGCATATTAAAGATACCTGACTATAAGAATTCTTAGATGCATAATGTCGAATGTTCGGGGAACTAAATTTCAAACATCTGCATACCCTAATACGGCTTGATAACGCTGCTATATGACATTTTCGGTAGCCCAAGATCATTTTGACTGCTAGATAAAAAGTGATATTATTGCACAGTTGTGTTGTATGGTAAAAATAATACGTAATATATCAGTAAACAATTCTTCAGGAGTTTATAAGAAATTAATTTCAAAGAAATTTAACTTTAAAAAAAATAGTGTTAAGTAGTTAAATGAACACTAATTAAAAACAAAAGTAAATTGTTGCAGAATACTTACATTGTATAACACACTATAGTTATAACTAATTGACACTGCTTATTTAAATGTAAAATATTATTCTTATTTGATTTACAATGGATTTAACTATCGTTTGTTATTAACTAACTAATAACGTGTTACGAGTTTTGAAATATTGAACCCTGGACAGTCCACACATCACATATTTATTTGAAAATGTTGATTATTAAACTGTATGATAATATACAATAAGAACTCCGTTCCTTCAATTACAATTAATTACAATTATATCTCTCACTATGCTGCCGGCAATAGCTACCTGTTAATCTATTCACTCTCCTTATCATAGATTAATATTTCATTTCATACGTAAGAAGAGGCAGATATTATTGATATTGTGAAGTGCCTATTACCTATATATGAATATTTTAGCGATTGTGATAAATTTACAATTGTAATACAAAACTTAAGTAAATGCAACAAACAATAGAATATTTATTAATAAATCTATATTATTGTTATACAGAGTGATCGATTAAGAATAAGAAATTCATTTTCTCAGAAACTATTAAATATTTTAAGTTTTTATAAAGGAAAATATTTTTTGATCCAAAAAACCCTATATAATGTATTTAAATAATTACTTTTCAGTGATAAAAAACCTTAGTTTAATTCTCTTAAATGGAAACCTTTATTTATAGTTTCATTAAATAAATTTTAAATGTTCTTATAATTTTTTTATCTGGTCAATTGCGTTTAATACTATTTACAGGTTTAGATTGAAAATAGAAATTCATTATTAATTTGTTTTTTATAACACCGGATGTAGAAATAATCTATTTCAAATGCCCATAAACTATTATTGGTTCTAATTTTTATTATCGTAGCTGACAAGTTTGATAAAAAAAAATTGTCAGTAAAAACTTTTTTATCTGACATTATGCTAAATAGCAAATTATAAGGGCAAGTTGATCAAAAATCGCTTAACTTTAACAAGTGATAACAGATGAACGGCTCATTGTATACAAAAAAAATTATAAACAATTTTTGTTATCATTGAATTAAAAATAGTATATAAGAACTAATTATATTTTTCAATGGTAATGATTCTTTGTAAGTAAAAAGTTTTTTTTAAAAATCTCAAATTTTCACAAAATATCTATTTTTATGTATATAATAGAGTTAAAAAGGTTCTCATTAAAATTTCGACGTTCGACTTATTTTTATCCATCCTAATATATATTTATTCAATTAAAGATCAAAATATGACGACATAATTGTTGAGCTTTTAACTTTAATTTACATGATATAATTTAAAGAAGGTTTCTTATATGTCTAAAAAATAAATTAATTTAAATATATTGAAAAATATACCGAGTTCTCTAGTTTTATGTATGCTCATTGCCTTTAAAAAGTATCGCATTAAAAATGAAAAAATGGAAGTTTTTTAATAATTAAAATGATAAAAATTTTATGACTACGAGACTACAAATGCGTCCAACTTGAAACTTCATATCATTATCTTTTTAAGATGCACGATCTAATCGTCTATTTTTATATCTGCAGCCGAAATATTTTGTTAATAACATATGTATCCTCATTTATGTGTTATAAAATATGTTTATCCCTTATACCTTAAAAGGGTATCAACATTATTTTTCTTTTACGTACATACATAATAATTATAAAATAATGTGATTATTAAAATGACTGACTGATAACAACTTTTTGATCGGTACTTCAGAAGATATAAACATTTTTATATTTAGACGGGAGAAAGAGTGAGACCAAAAAAAGTCTAATGATAAAAATAGGCATCACCTGTGCCTTACCTACAATAATTATGTTAAATTGTTAATCTTCTTTTTTCTCGCCTTTATACAAACTACTTGAAGTCGTTCCAATTTAATTACTTAATATAGTTAATAACTTCTGAAGTAGTTGACATCCCTAAAGATATGAGGAATGAACATAAAAAATATTTTATAACATAAAATGGATATATATATATAACTAAAAACGCCAAAAAAATAATTATTTTAAGAAATATTAAGTGAATATCGTGATTTTGAGATGTGCATCTCAAAAATACCTCAAAAATCTCAAATAAAGTATTTTAAGCACTTAAAATACTTTAGAAAAAAATAAAATTATTAAATTTTAAATAATAGCGTATAGTGATAACATTATCTGATAGTCATAAAATATAGTTATAGTACCAGCCTGCTGAATAAGATATAGCACTGGTGGTGCATGAGCGTGGAGTTAAAAATAATTTTAAACAAAATCCAACAATTATTGTGAATTGTATCGTTTTCTTACTATTGCAGTGTACATAATACAAACATTATCCAGAATCTGGCCTTTGTTTTTACGTATTGTGTGTTAAACTATTTTGGAAGTTGTTTTTAAAGTATAATTAATACTAATTTTTTGTTCAAATTATCATGTAGTACATAAACTGTGTTAAGGTATCTAAAAATTATTTTTTGTATTAGACTTTATAAATTTGAATTAAAAAATACGATGTTTATAACTTTAAAACTCACTGGTTAATCAATTGGTGAACAGTAGAACTGAATATTTTGAAAATGGAAAAATAATTACTTGATTAAACACTAATTAACAAGTATAGAAAATATTTTTATGATTTTGGCTGATTATTATTTTTTATATTAAATATGAACTTAAATTAAAATAAAAAAAGTGATAATATCCCTACACCGTTGACATTTCAAGCGTTGGGTAGACCTGTACACATGACTGGTGATACAGCTACCTCAAAAGTTGTCCTGCTGATATTAAAGACTATTCTTTAGGCCTTCTCCGTAACTAACTACTGTACTTCCTCTCACCTGTTATCATCGCGTACGTCCGAGATGGGACAATTCACCTAAGTTTTGTTCAAGACTCCTCATACTTTTTGACAACAATTTTACACCGACTGTTGACCTGACGCAACCTCATTAGTCGCCTCTTACGACTGACAGGGGGGCCGTGGAAGTATTCTTTTCCCCTATCCACAGGGACATGTATTCATAATTTCATTACTCAGTTAAAATTATAAATAGTTCGAACATAAAATGGCAGCTCTAGAAATTTTATAAAAAAAAGCATTATTATTAGTAATATTTCTTGTATATTTAATTATTTAACAGTTTATTTGATTTGAAAAATATTCATTTAGTTGAGTAAATAAAACTATATTTGATAATATATACGTCATGTACAAAAGGACTATTTAAATAAACTTTTTTTACATTATTTTTAGTCTAATCAAACTAATAAAAAACATTAAAATTACAATGTTGAACATTTCAACTTTATTTTTGTCTACAATATTTTTACTGTGTTTCTACGTTGATTATATTCAATTAGATGAATTGATATTCGAAAATATAGAATATTTGCAAAATGAATCAGTAAGATTAATCTCGTTACGCCCCACATTGGCTAATCGCTGTTCATTTAAAGAATTCAAGACAATTCAGAAAGTTGTAAATGAAAACCAAAGTATAGATGAAGATGCAAAGAGGAGGTTGCTTTACCCTTACTATAAAGATGCCATGGTGTACCGATCATTGAAATATGTGTTTGTATTGGCCCATTATGGTAATATGACAACTGGACTAAAGAATCATGGAAAATCTATTGCAAATTTAAATACCGCGGTATACACCATAAGACATTTTTTTAAGTTTATTAATTTAGAAAATGAATTTTTAGAAAACATCAGAAATGTTTTAGAGAATTTTAAACATTCACCGATAGAACCAAATTCTGTTCCACATTTTGAAATCATACACCATGTTTTTAGAGAAATCATAAATATCATAGATAATTATTTCATAGAGGAAAAATATTTTCTATATTATTTTAGTGCTCTATTTTCATTCAATCTAGAAATAGATTGGGATATGTACGAATCTATAATAAGTCAAAACTTAATAGCCATCAAATATTATCCTCCAACAGATATTAAACACAAGAATAAGGAACTAATTGAAGCTATGAACATTCTCGTTACTAAAATAGTAGAAGAATATAAAATAAAATTTTATGCTCATGAAAATAACGAAGAAAAATTTTAAATAATTAATTTAATGCTATGAATGAATTTTTTAACACTGCAATTTTAAATTTTATTTACAATACAATTACATAGATTTTTTAAATAATTATCATTTAAATGTTAACATTTTTATTTTTAGCTTAAAAAAAGTTTCAATAAAGAATATTTGGAAAAAAAATATATATTATTTATTCAAACAATTTTTTCTGAACAGTTTACTAAAANTATAAAGAATATTTGGAAAAAAAATATATATTATTTATTCAAACAATTTTTTCTGAACAGTTTACTAAAATTTATTGTCTCAGAGGCTATTCTTATAACTGAATTTCCATGAAGTATTATTTGTTCGAAATTATGTTATTACATTAACACAAAACTAAAAATAACCAAATATTTCTTTTTAACAAAAACGGTAGCACAGTTGAGTTGCGGCACAGTATGAGCGTGGAAGAGTTGGGACAAGTATAAACAATATCTGACAGTGATTAAAATCACTATCATAAGAAACGCTTTGATGTAAATCTGTAGATAGTGTTTAATTTTAACAAAAAGATGAATGATTAAAAAAGCAACATCAACTCCTATTTCCTTAATAATATCGTAATAAAAGAGTTGAAAATTTGTTTGTAACTCAAAAAGAATTAAGAAAAAAGTGCAAAAAATCATAGACACAGACAAGTACCTCGTACTTCAAGCACGTAAGACACAAGTGTTACAACCCAACGTCACTTCCATCGAATGAAAAAAATGGCAATTTACGCTAGTTCAAATTTCAAAGTTGTTTTTCTCGACTTAAAAGAAGCAAAAAAATTTAAATAAGTTTAACATTCTATGCTATGTCAATTAGATTTATATAATATTTATGAATATCTGTTTATTCTCCATGTAAGGTATTTTAAAATAAAATAAAATACAAAGCCCAGAATTTTAACACAAAAATAGTATATTTATAGTAGTCATTTTAACNAATGTATAGTGTAGTCATTTTAACCATAAGTCCAGATGTCAATTTTTTTTTTTTTTTAATAAATTATATTACATAAACTTTAATTTAAGATATATATAAAAGTGTCAGTATTTCCGGAACATTATTAAAAGTTAAGATGAAAAACTTCTACTTTCTATACGCATGTTTAATATTTGATCATCCTTGTATGATGGGATATGGTCTGATTTCAAAAAACAGTATATCGAATAGAAGGGGCA